CATTTTTGCCTGAGGCACTTGCCACTATGCCCCCTTTCCGTGTCCGAGTACTTAGTTTCCAACTCCTGAACATTGTTATTGGAAAGGTAAGGCTATATACTATATAGTATGAACTTTCTTTTCTTCCTTTTTTCTTTCTTTCAATGAACCATGTTCATGGGAAGGTAAGGCTATAAAGTATAAAGTTACTACAGACTTTCTTTTCTTCCTTTTTTTCTTTTTTTTTCAATGAACCATGTTCATGGAAAGGTAAGGCTATATAGTACATAGTATAAACTTTCTTTTCTTCCTTTTATATAGTACATAGTATAAACTTTCTTTTCTTCCTTTTTTTTCTTTTTTTCAATGAACCACACATCAGATATTCAACTGATCAGAACAGATACATTGCACTTGATCTATAATTAGGCAAAAGGCTATAAACTTAGTTTCCCAACTCCAGAACATTTTTGTCGGAAAGGTAAGGCTATAAAGGGAAGGGGTGGGAGATGTGAACTGAAGACCATGACATATCTAAGGGGACCGAAGGCCATGACATATCTAAGGGGAACTGAAGGCCATGACATATCGAAGCGGATTTTGGGTTTTTAAGATTTCGGGTTCACTTCTGAGGGAGCTTGAGAGTGAGCAATCCGTCCCCTTTATACTTACCGCGAGTCCAACAGTCCCAAGACCAAACACTGCAACCGTAGCCCCGGGCTCGACCTTTGCGGTGTTCAGGACCGCTCCCAATCCTGCAAATACAGGAACAGAGAGAGGAAACTCAAAGCAGTTGAAAATCAGGCAGGAGCAGTTCACTAAAAAAAAAAAAAAAAAGGCAGGAGCAGCTCAAAATCAGGCAGGAGCACTGTCTGAATGCTACACACATGTAAGGTCAATCCTCGTCTAATCAGATGGACACAAACAAGGTTAAAAACTACCCCCTTTCAAAAAAAAACAAAAAAAAAAACAATGCAGGGACGGACTCGAGGGGGGAACACTGCACCAAAGCAAACGGACCCATCCAACGGCCACCGCTTATGCAGAAAAGCGATGGCCAGAGCCTTAAAAAAAAAAGCAAGAAAAAAGAAAAAAAAAGAATGACGAACATGGTTTCAACGGAAACACTGCTGACATGAGAGAATGCTCCGAGGAACATCGGTACATATAGTTCATAAACTTGTACCCGGTTTACAGGACAACGATACAGCGCAAAATATTAACTGTCCTTTCGGACAAACGTCAAAATTGAAGCGATACAATCATACAGTACGTTAGCATGGCCATGATGCGAGATTGCCTCACATTTAAAGAGAAGGGGGGGGGTGGAGGAATTACTTGCTAATCACGATGGGTAGCTACTGATAGGTAGCTATCTCCAACCAGCATGAGCGGCTCAGATAATCGCCCACATGCAATGATCATAGGATGCCTCCGAAGATTTCAGGTTAGAACTCCAAAGACGAGGAAGAAAAGAAGAGGAGTACCAGAAAGAAGAAGAAGAAGAAGAAGAAGAAGAAAGAAGTACCAGAAAGAAGTACCAGCAGAAGAAGAAGAAGAAGAAGTACCAGAGAAGTACCCGAAAGAAGAAGAAGAAGTACCAGAGAAGTACCAGAAAGAAGAAGAAGTACCAGAGAAGTACCAGAAAGAAGAAGAAGAAGAAGTACCAGAGAAGTACCAGAGAAGTACCAGAAAGAAGAAGAAGAAGAAGAAGAAGAAGAAGAAGAAGAAGAAGAAGAAGACGAAGACGACGACGACGACGACGACGACAACGACGAAGACGAAGACGAAGACGAAGACGAAGAAGAAGAAGGAGGAGGAGGAGGAGGAGGAGGACAAGATTAGCAGGGGAAGGGGTTGGAAGAAGGAGGGAATTCACCAAAAAGAAGAAAGACAGAGAAGAAGAAGGAACAGGATCTAGCGGAGGAAGAAAAGAAGAAGAAGCAGACGAGAGGATTAGGAGGGGTAGGAGTTACACAGCAGAGGGTGCTACGATGCGCACATTGTGATATGCGAGGTATGCCTACTCCACAGACAGGATCTGTCTATGGTAGCAAAAAAAACTGTTGTTGGGATACCAGCATCAGTGCCTACCTGTAGGGATCCCACATCCCAGCAAGCAGACCTTGTCAAGCGGGGCATCGGGATGGATCTTAGCAACTGACACATCATGCACGACGGTGTACTCGCTGAACGTTGACGTCCCCATAAAATGGTAAATGGGCTGTCCGCGGATCGAGAACCGCGACTTCCTGTCCGTGAGCATCACCCCAGCGCCTGTCGCAACGCGCACCTTCCCGCACAGGTTCGTCTTCCCGGAGAGGCAGAACTTGCACTCCCGACATTCTGCCTGATAGCAGGGAATCACATGATCCCCCGGTTGCAGATCCGTCACTCCCTCCCCTACACTCTCCACAACCCTGCATCGCAGACGGCAACCGAACCAGGGGAAAAAAAAACTTTCAGAAAGGAAACAAAAAGACAAAACGCGATCCATATGACCCATAGAAACTCCCACACAGACATGTTGAAAGGAAAATGAGCGATAGCGAAAAATCCGGAGTGCAAAATCACATTGAAAGCTGGCAAGTCCAACGCTGTTCAGAAAGCAGAAGTGCACCAATATTCCACCAATGGAGAACCAAAGCACCGAATCCGAATGTCGATGAGAGCATACTCTCGTCATCACCAATATATGTATCCAGAGCCCTTCCTCCTACTTGGCGATCAGCGCCCAGCCTACGATCACACAGCTACTACCAGCCTACGAATTGACAATGCATCCTGTTGACGTCAGCGGCAACAACCGTAGTACGTGAAGATGTCGACCGTGTATACCATCGCCAAGACCAGGTACGTGCCCTCACATCACAACCTCATCTCTCTCTCTCTCTCTCTCTCTCTCTCTCTCTCTCTCTCTCTCTCTCTCTCTCTCTCTCTCTCTCTCTCTCTCTCTC